GAATAAACATCACCAGAAAGACAACTGTGTCTGATTCACCATTTATTTGTTTTCTGACTTGTACTCTACAGTATTGGGGTTTTTAGATTTCCATAACACCCGTTATAAATGTCATCATTTCGACAATAAAGAAATGCTACATAAACGTTATCTTGCACATTTTTATCTAACCATCTCCGTTTCTAACTTTCATTATATTTTAAAAGAGATCTCTCTTTCTCATCTGCGTGCGGGGGCGGGGCCTCACAGACACGCTGCATCTCTCTCTCGCTCACAGACATGCTGCAGCGCTGTGCAGTGTGCACACAGTTCTGCCCGGGCCCGGCGCCACAAGGGGGCAAAAGGGGGCATTGGGCATTCTCAGTTGTATTATTTGCCCCCTCACTTTGAGCATCATTCATCCATCGAAAAGTAAAATAAATGTCACAATTATTAAATAACTTTAAATAATTATTTCCCCCAACACACGTTACTATGTTTAGATCAGATATGTGGGCAGGCAGCATGGGCGGCGCCAGGATTTTTTTGCTGCAGTAGTTTAGCAGTTGCTATATGACAGCACGGCGTTGCTAGTTAATTTTCAAAATAAATAAACAAACAATACCAGTGGGCCAAGCACGAGCCTGTTCATATTGTAGCTATTCAAAATCACAGATCACGAGCCTTCAATGTCGAACATGTTCTCTTTATTTTCTGGTAGGCCTATTGACGGCCACAGCCACACCTTACAGAACCAATCAATAACACTCATTATGACTTTTCCCCACACTCGAACACAACTCCTACCGTCTCATACTCCCTCCACACACACCGGAAAACGCACACACACACCTGGAAGGGGCGGTCTCTCACTAACTCCCACAAACAACATTGCCTAAATAACTTTACAAATGTACTAAACTGTGCACATCTGATAACTGACATAACTATTAACTTGGACACGCTACAATAATATCATTAATATTTACATTAAAACATTCCTTTGACACTTATAACATTACTTTGCAAGGTAAGCACAACCAACATAAGTTGGTAAAAGCAACATTTGAACACTGTTTCTGTGCTCCTACAATAGGCCTATTTGTGTATAATAGGCGTGTGGTGCAGTGGGTTGAGTGTTGGTGTTCGGATCAAGGGGTCACAGGTTCAAACCCCACTGCAGTCAGCATGTCGTTGTGTCCCTCGGCAAAACACTTCACCCCAAATTGCTCCTGTGGGGATTTCCCACAGTATTGAGTATGTAAGTCGCTTTGGATAAAAGTGTTTAACAAGTGACATGTAATGTAATACCATTACACCCTAAGCATACAAGTACACGATCGTTCACTGTTTCAACTGGCATGCTGTGGCATTTAACCACACCGCAAACAGACAGACACACCCACACACGGATGTTGGAGATCGCGGTCGTTTACACTGACTAGCGACTTGTGAGAAATCTTTCCATTTTCGATCTGTGTTCACATACTGAGAATTATAACAACATTAGCCAAGTAACAGTTCACGCTTTAACTTACAACGACCCCTGATAGATCTCGCGAGAATGTGTATAAATATATATAGATGCATTTTCATAACAAAACAATGGGGTTGCTAAGCCGTTGCTAGGCCAATTGTTGGAGTTGCTATAGCAATTACATTTCCATTCAACTCTCTGGTTGGTCTGGTGGTGTCTTGCCTTTGAATTCACTGAACACGGGAAATGACAATCCTGCCGTCAGTCCTGCCGTCCTCTCTAGTGTCATGATGAGGTTCAGGTAAAGCACGGTTAATGTATTATATATGATTGACTCAATAATATAATACATGACTTTGAGAGTGCAATCTAGGCATATTAACACAATTAATTAAACACACTTATCACGGCGACGGTGTACTGAGATTATTATTATTATTATTTTTTTTTGCTAGGGGGGCCTTAGTGGCTGCGGGGCCCTAAGCGGCCGCTTATGTCGCTTAATGGGTCGGGCCGGCTCTGACCGTATCGGGACAATGAGCGACATCTAGTGACGGATTTTGGAACATTGATCTGATTTTTCTCATGGCAGTTAGAGACAAACCAGGGGACTATCCATTTGGTGTAGTATTTGATCTAATATTACATTTGGTTTATATATTAGTCACTTTGTTATGAAATGCCAGGTTTTAGGCCTTAATTTGAACATTCAATCCTGGAAATAAAAAATCCCCAGATTATAGAAAATCCTGATATAGAGTAGATAGTAAATCTGATAAGAAGACGAGTTAAGGGATAGAGGAGAAACGGTTATGGTATAATTACAGAGCCTGTCAATTTATACATTGAGGAAATCAATGTTAGTCTGTTAACCAAAGTGCAGCCATCTGATAATGTACTATCTATCGTTAAAGATCAGAGGAAAATAACAGAATGAGAGGGGTCAATCCAGAATAGCAGTGAGAAGGAAAAACGCTTGGTGTGTCAATTCATTACATTGCCAGGAATCGCCCCCTCGTATTTTTTATCAGCCCCCTCAGTCATTTCGTCCTGGAGCCGGGCCTGGTTCTGCCGGCAATGAATATTACATTTTCTGAGGAAACTTTTCCACCAATAATTCCAATAAGTATTCCAAAATGTATTCACTTCAGGTTTACGAAAGTGTAATCAGATTACTCATTTTTCAAATGTAACGCCAGCTGAATACACTTGATTTTTGTATTCTGATTACGTAACGCCGTTACATGTATTCCGTTACAACCCAACCCTGTGTATATCTCTCCGGACTGTCCACCAGCAAATGAAAAACACCCACCTCTCCACCTTTTCCAAGGGACGAGGGAACCGTGCAGCAGAGTTTCCGTTAACATTGTTTTTCTTCTAACAGCCCAGCAGCAGGAGAGGTGGGGAGAGGGAGGCGGGGCTATTTCATCGTTATCAGAAAATGATCGTATAGATCGCTGCTAGATGAGGGCAGTGGGGGCTATTCTTGGAGTCTGGCTTTTAAAAAACAAAACAAAGTTCATTAGTGAACTTTGAGCCATCATTTATTTTTCAGGCAGCTCTCTGCCTCTCTCATGTTATTATGGCGCGCGCCGGAACCAACAATCAGTTTTTACTGTAAATGAGTTCGGTTCAGAGGATAATAAACACATACAACATTAATTAAACTCGATATTTGTTCACTTGAATTTCACTTTGAATTCTTGGATATTGTCAATGGGTGAATACTTTTTTTAATAATAATAATAATAAAATAATTAAAAAAAATAAAAAACATTTTTTTTTTAAATGACACCGAAGCTTTCTCAGGGTGGGCCAATTAGTAAACTGGGTGGGCCTGGGCCCACCCTGGCCCTATGGTAGCTACGCCACTGATATATATATATATATATATATATATATATATATATATATATATATATATATATATATATATATAGCCTATATATAGCGAAGCTTGCAGCATTTTTGTTAACAGAGGATCAACAAAAATGGCAAAGAAAAGCATACCGTGGTCCGCCGAGGAAGTTACGACGTTCCTACATTTTATTGCAGATGACAAGATCCAGCGGGAGCTCGACGGGACAACTCGCAATATGAAAGTATTTCAGGAGGTCTCTACACTGATGTGCGGAAGCGGTTACCCGAGGACTGTCTTGCAGTGTAGGGAAAAACTGAAAAAGATGAAGAGTGAGTATCGCGTAGTGAAGGACAACAACAAGCCGATCGCTCCGCCTACACTGCGTTACTATAGATACTACCCCAGTTCCTAAACTGTAATGGAGACGCGCCATGTGAGCCAGTCCTAACGAGCAGGCCAGTCCTAACGAGCGAGGCCGTGTAGTGGAAACGCGCCATAAGTAGGCCTACACAGTAAAAGTACTTCATTTTTTTCCTGGTAGAAGTCAAACTAGTACCGAGTCCAACAGTTTCCTTAAGAACTTGAGGTAAAAAATATTTGTATCACACGTCAAATATAGCAGGAATAATGAAGAGCAGCTGATTTGAAAAAACAAACTCGAGAGGCGGCTGAGTTGACCGCAGTGCAGAATCGCTGTAGGCTATTGTTTAAATCTCCTAACAATGTTGTCCAGACAATGTTTAGACATAGGCTTATTATATTTACAGCCCTTAATAACATCCATTTTCTGGGCTCAATATGTTTCTTGACCGTTTTCGTTGTGATCGCTAAATTCCCCTTGTTTATAATGATCACCGTTCCTTCAGCAGGATACTGTAGTGATTCAAAGTGTGATTTTAGCAAACGAGTGCTTTTGTTTTGAAATCACTTCCGTGAGTTTCACCCCGCCCCTCGCTCAAGGTAAAAAGCAAAAACGCCTCTCAGACGCTCTTCCGTTTACTTGTTTAATAAAGAAAAACAAATGGACGGTAGATACACGGACTTAAATCAAAGTAACTATGTTATTTTGTTTTGTTAGACTCACACAATAATACTCCCAACCCAGAGCATGTGATGTAGAAGTACATCATATACTTTTTATAACCAAATATTATCATATTATTTGCATTTCTTTAAAACGTTTTTTTACTAGGCATTAGCATTCAAAACAATTTAAATGAGTTAAATTATACATGGCTTTGAAATTGGAAGAATGTTGCTTCTTTGTCCAGTAGGGGTCAGTATTTAACTAGAAATGGTTTTATCAGTGTTTATTTGTGTATTCGATCTAATTTCTGTTCCCACAGAGGGTTACAATATGAAACATTTTCCACATTCCACACAACATTTCTTCATGCTTGAACCATTTTAATATTTTAGTGAGTTTGGGTTTGACATCATGTTAATCCAGCTGCACATTCTATTTTTGTACAAGGGACCAATTACATTTTTCAAAAATGTTGGAGGCTGACACATCATGAATTAATATCCCCTCGAAATAATGTTTAGCCTGGTCACATTGACCACCAGCTAAAGCAATAGTCAGAGAAACACTGTTCTTATGTTCATGCTGTACTGTAACCACCTATTATGCAGTCTTGTGTGTACAGGCAGTACACATAAAAACCAGGTTGAGACTTGCTGATGATGTCACGGCCGGGATGCCTGGCCCACGTGCGGGCATCAGTGTGTTCCAGCCTCGGGGACAACAACAAGGACTGCGTAGCACAGGCGCAGTCAGATGCGGAGCGAGTCAAATAATCCAACGAGTGTCGGATTATCGCCTGTATCCAAACCTCTACCAGCCGATAGCGTGGGACGCTTCCTCTCTCAAATTCGGCGCTGTTTTCATCTCACCTTGCTTCTCCCACCCCCTTGATGATGATTTGCCAGGAAGATGCGCCTGTCTGAAATGTTCGTTGACCTTCGCCTCCGCTCAGCAGCATCGAAGCATTGTGAAGCGCTGCCACAGGAGCGCCCCGGCTCCCGCCGCTGCCCCTAACCTCCCTGCATCGCAACAGATACCCGTGCTGTGACTCTTCTAGCCGCTCATCTTTCATTTTTTTATCAACCAAGACCGAGGCAGATGCCCCTCGCTCTGTCATCCCGGATTTTACTATGGTGGAGTTTCCATCTCTCAGTCCTTACTGGCCTCTCATCCGCTTTCTGGTGCCTTTGGCTATCACCAATGTTGCCATCGACCTCGGAGAGCAGGTAACGTTTCTCATTTGCTAGCGTTGTTTTTCCACTCATTAACAAAAAGGCAAGCTTTGCCGTTTGATAGCAGTGGCTAACGCTTTAAACGCCTTTTATACACCGCTGTGAGAATTGTGTTTGTGTGTGTCAACCTCTGCTGTTGCTGAGCAGCATTTTTAAGCTCCAGATAATACCGTGATAATGACGACCCTGGTGCTGTCAGTTAAAGACGGTTGGCTTGTGTTGTAGCTACAGTTAGCTTAGCTGACAGGCACCCATTAGGATAGATATACATTATTTAGGGTGAAGAGGAAGAGAGGGAGGGCCTGTGTTTATTCTGAGAAGATGTTTTGTCACCTCTGTCACCAAATGTATTGAGCTACTGCGGGTTTTCATTTATTAACCAGCCTGACCTAGACATGCACTACCTGCCTGTGATTTGTTTGTCAAATGATTTATCAGGACATCTCGGTCATGGCGGATCACGTACACGGATAAAACGTACAGGCATTTGATTTCCTTTTGATTGTCATTTCCTGCTTGGACACTTCCTGTCTTTCCTCAGACTGATCTGGAGGCTGCCCTCTCCCAAGAGCAGATAGTGTGAGACACACATTGTGGCTTGCTCATGTCAGGATTAAGCTTATGTAATGTCTCTGTTAGCTGGTATAAATAGCACACACAGTCATGCAAAGGAAAAGGGCAGCTGTAGTAGTTGTTCCAAATGGAAACACTTCTGGAATATAGTGTGGGTGTTTCCTGTCCTGACATTATGTTGGCACTCACTGCTTTGCACTAGTTCAAGGTCTCACTTTTTATTGTGCCAGTAAAGCACATGCAGGTCTTCAGTTTGAATGGGATGGAGGGCCATCTGGTCAGAGATAAGGTTCGGCTAAGTCATGGTCATGTGGGCTGGTCACGCTGCCATACTGAACTTCTCTTTCCCCCTCCCTCATGTGCTGTCTCCTTGCCCGGAAACCTCACCCTCTCCAACCCATATTATACTTTCCAGGCCCTCAACAGGGGCATAGCCACCGTCAAAGAGGATGCCATTGAAATGCTGGCCAGCTACGGCTTGGCCTATTCCCTGATGAAGTTCTTCACTGGACCCATGAGCGACTTCAAGAATGTGGGTTTGGTGTTTGTCAACAGCAAGAGGGACCGGAGGAAGGCTGTGTTCTGCATGGTGACGGCCGGGGTCATCGCGTTCGTCCTGCACATCTTGATAGGTGTGTGTTTAAGGGTTGTTTGTGCAAATCAGATGACACGCTGTGCTTGAACCGCATCCTGTAAAAGTTAAGTATCTGTGGAGTTCTAAAGTTTCATTACTGTATCACCCTCTGACAGCGTTTCTTCCTCTTTACTGCTCAAAACACTGACCTGTGGTTTCCTTTTTTTGTGTCTATAGCTTACACAGATTTAGGATACTATATCATTAATAAGCTCCACCATGTGGATGACTCTGTGGGCAACAAGACAAGAAAGGCTTTCCTTTACCTGGCAGCGTTCCCTCTGCTGGATGCAATGGTGAGTGTACAGTATTGCAGAATTATTTTTACATAATGCAGTCGTGGATTTAAACACCTGACCTACAGAAAGCTGTTTTTGAATCTCCTCTCCAGGCTGGTTTCAAGTGATAGGTGCATTCCCCGTGCTAAAGTCTCTCTTTCATTATGCTTTATAGCCTGTCATCCAGCTTGTGGTCGAGAAAATGCCCAACATAGAGCCTTTGTTTTGAGTGTAAAGCTTGGGATAACATCTCTGTCCATTGTTCTGTTTTGAAGGCGTGGATCCACGCAGGGATTCTTCTCAAGCACAAGTACAGCGTTATAGTGGGCTCAGCCTCCATCTCTGATGTTGTGGCTCAGGTAATGAGATCCATTCTTTTCTTTAATTCAGAACATTAAAAAAAGTTGAAGATTTTGATGATTTCTGATCACTGGTCTTCCCTGCAGATTGTGTTCGTGGCCATTCTCCTCCACAGTAACCTGGAATGTGTGGAGCCTCTACTCATCCCCATCCTCTCCCTGTACATGGGTGCCTTGGTCCGTTTCACCATTGTGGGTCTGGGTTACTACTGTAACATCCACGACAACATCCCAGAATCCAGTGGAATGGATGTGGGCGTAAGTGCTGTTTGCTGTTTATTCTAAATAATAAAATAAGGATTTAGACTTGTCTTTTCTAAAAACAACAGTGATTTATCTGCTTTGTTTTGATCCCTGCAGGGCGATGCCACTATCAAAAAGATGCTGAGTTTCTGGTGGCCTCTGGCCCTCATCCTGGCCACTCAGCGTATCAGCCGACCCATCGTCAACCTCTTTGTGTCCCGCGACCTCAAGGGGACCTCTGAATCCACAGAGGTATTAGGAATTTAATTCACCAAACATATCTGAACTACTTTTTTTCCTGGCACGTCTTATCATGACATAGGGATAACTAAAGTGTACATAAAATCTGGATGCTATAACTAAAGCTGCCACAAATTACTTAAACATAACACAAGTATAATTATACACTGCTGGTGGACATCGTTAATAACGACTTTACAGCATTGTGAAGCCACTGGGCTAATTTTCCCCTCAAGTTATTGCAGATGAAAAGCCAGATGCTTACACACTCCCTCTGGAGCTTTCTGGCTTACAGAGACCCTAAACTAATGGAGACAACACAAAGCTGTTTACTAGAACGAACTGGAAGTCAACACAGGCTGTCAGTGGTTTGGGTGATTCACCACGTTCATGTGGAAGTCAGAGCATGATTACATTGAGTGAAAACATTCCTTCATGGCCCTACTGTTCCTGCGTAAAGCTGGACACTGCCCATTGTTTGGGACACAATGACCAGCTCAAGGCTGCTTTACAATCGTAAACTTGTTAGAAACCATACACTGCTATTGTAAAACACCTGTCATTAATTTAGCTGTGTGTGCCGCATGTGGTATTCTCAACATTACAGTAGTGGCGCGATGATGACCTACACTGTCTTTGTCATTCCAGGCTGTGGCTGTCCTCACGGCCACATACCCAGTGGGTCACATGCCCTACGGCTGGTTAACCGAACTCAGAGCAGTGTACCCTGCCTTTGACAAGGTAATCCACACTCCTATTACTAGTGTTTGCTGCAGTGGTAACAGTTTATACCACTAATATTACTCTCTTACCAACAGAACAATCCCAGCAATAAGCTGGACGCTGGCTCCCCTGTCACCAAGTCGCACATTAAGAAGTTTACCTCCTGCTGTCTGGCTATATCATTGACGGTAAGATGAGATTTAATATTTTTCTGACACGTAATTAAACTTTCACAATATGTCACCAATGAGCTCAGCATGAATGTGCGGTGAACCGTTTGTTTTTACGGTCTGGATACAATCCCGAGCATCTGACTGGAATATTTAAAGAAAACATTAGCAACAATTGTGATGTCTTTAGCTTTTTATGCAGATATCATTAGAAATGTTATTAAAAATGTAATGTCTCTTGGCAAAATTAGTGCTTTTTCATTTATAATATATTCTGATGATTTATTAACTCAATCAAAGTTGACAGCCCTCATAAAGTAACTGATATTATTACTTTGCAAGCATTGCTGTCATCCTGGAAATTGATACAGCTACTATTAAGTTCAGTATTCATTTTCATAATAATCACTCCTGCACTTGCTGTGTATTTGTTTAGTCTCATTGAAGTGTCCTTCAATGAGACTTGTCCTACAGTAGGTGTCAGCTGTCCCACAGAGTGCCTTAAGTCATATTCAAAGCGAGTCGTTTTAAATTTCGAAGATGTATTTAAGATGCTTTTCATGCCGCATAAACTGCATATTTTTCTACAGCAGATTTATTATAGATAGTTATTTTGGGGTTGTAAATCTATTTCTGCACGTGTTGATGAAAAAGTAAAAACACGCGCCCACAGGCAGAACGCTCTCCCTGACACACAACACTTCTGCTATGATTACCTTTGCATGTACTGTAGGTCAGGGTTCAGAGCAAAGACTGGCAGAACCAGTCCAGTGTTATGCACAAACATGTTTGACACATTTTTGAAAACATTCCCAAAGGCAGTGCTGTCAACATGTTTTATGAGATACTGAACGTGACCTATTTCAGAAACTAAGACACATTTAGGAGTTCTTAGAAAAGAGCTTCAAGGTAATCGTCTTGCTTCAGCTGTACACTAATTTTCAAAGTGATGGGGGTCCCTAGCTCAGCTGCAGGCGTACTAAATGTACTTTCCTTTTTCCATCCTGTCGTGGTTTCAGGTTGCTGAGAGAGGGAGACACATTAGGATGGAATTTATGAAGAGGCTAAGGGGGCTTTTGTTCCCGCCGCTACACTCCCACCCAAGCTTTAAAAGCTTAATAAAAAGACATTCACTTAAAACATGAGTTAACACATTTCAAAAGCCCCTCACAGGTGAACTTTTTCGGTTAAAGAATGATTGCTGCAGTCACACGCTGTTGCTTTTTTGTTGCAAAAAGTTTAGATAATTATGCCAGCAGATTGACAAAAACACTGTATTATCTAGGTATTTTCTAGTCAATGATAATACAAAAAAAAAAAAGAGACTTTGTCCCAGTTTTTGTAGCAACCCGAATTAGAAAAACAGGAAGTTTGTGGCCAAGGTTGGGTCTTTAAGGAGGGGGAGGAGGAGTGTGGCTCGCCAGATGTGGAATCCCAGTGCTGTAAACATGCATGTGAGGGTGTGTTTGCTTGACACAGCAGAACAGGCAGATAGATATCATCGTATCGTTGTTGAAAACACAAGCAGACAGCCGTCAAGCCAGAACTTGTTCTGATTATACATGGAAAAGAGAAAACACAATGTACAACAACAGCAGAAGCAGGCGTAGTGTATTTAAGAAAGCAACTGACTAATGTTCTATAACAAAACCGTCATCATATGAAAACAGACTGTCTAGCTCTAGGCTGTCGAAGCAGTGAGTGTGGATGTCTCACCTTGTTTATAGAAACCACAGCTGAGTCAGGGGAGACAGTGGTTTCACTAGAGCCAAACAAATTAGTTATGTGGCTCCATCTTGCTAAAATAATGATAGATGGTAAGGTGATACCAAATGAAATAATCAGTTACAAGTTCATTTATATTGGTTCAAGGGATCAAAAACCACAACACCACCTCTTAACGGCTTTTGCTCAATGAATTTTTTCCTGATTTTGGGAGATGTCTTCTTTCTTCTTTCACTTAATCAATGTTTCCATTAAGTATCACTTAGTGCCAGCAGCATAAGGTTATATAAGCAGAAGCGTTTGTCTAAATCGAGTACAATAAATCGCGACTGGATAATACCATTTTGAACCACTATGTTAAAAGCAACATTCAATCGTCTTTCTTTTTGAGAAATCCTTGTGTTGGAATGAGATTTGGTGTATATTAAAAAACAAGGGGACCAAGCACAGATCCCTGCGGTATCCCAGTGTAAAGAAACTGATGCTCTGACTCGTTCCTTGCCAAACTACTTTAAGCAATCCCTGTGAAAACTAAGCTCTTTAAGAAAGAAACCAGAGCAGTGCTGTACTCGAGATTGGGTGGACAGGATGATTTTGTGGTTCTGTGTCAAAGGCCAACGGCAGTTCCAGCTAAATGAGGTCTCAGCGTTGCCGTTTAATCACTAACAGCAGTGAAGAAGAAGTGGAAATTATATTGGTTTAATTCAAGTAGATTGTTTTGAGGGAGGAAATCTAAACCTGAGACTTGCTTTAAAACTGTGTGTATGTGAGGCAGTAGCGAGACCTGCATGAAGATTTTAACTTGAGGTCAGTTCAGGATTGTCTTGTTCAACCTGCTTAAACAACAAGGCTTGGGGCCTGCTTAAACACTGTGGAATGTACCTGGAGCTCAGGGTTCAGTGATGGAAGAAAAACAATGGCCAATGCCAGACTCCTCAACACAATTGTTGTCCTGTTGGAGACAAAATAACAATAAAAGAGTTTGATAGCTGATTGCATGTTATTCAAATAAGGAACACTTTTAACAGTGGAATATGTAGATGTGTTAAAAATGAGAAAGCCTGTCTCACCTCCTTGCATTGATGCCCAAGCAGCATGATTGATGGAAAGCGCAGATGGAGAAGCAGATTTCTGGACGCATCTAGGTTTCACTGGGCTAGTGTGTATAATATGTGACTGGCTAGCAAAGACAGGGATGACATCAGCTTTATTGACAGCAGGCTGACAGTGAGTGAGGAATTCTGGAAAGTTTATCAGTATTTTTGGTTTTCTGCACGGATGTGAGATTTGTGTTGGCCTTGAATGACACAAACATTCCGGGAAAACACCTTAATCTTAATTTGGAGTGCAGAGACAATATCTTGAAGCTATTTTAAACAAATTCACGAGATCAGACAAGGTTATATTTCTGTTTTACACTCCCTAAAATGTTCATAATACACTAAAAGCTCTGAGATGCTTTTGGTTTTTGCATGTGCCTCCGCTCCTGCTTCTGGAAACAATAGCATTGTCTGTCATGTGTTTGCTCTCTCTCTTGTTTTATGTGGGCTTTAAAGGCCCACATTCAATCTGATACCTCTTGAGTTAATGAACCGATGAAATCTAATGAGGCATGCCGGGCGATTCTATTATTGAGCAGTGAACACAAAAAATAAATGTTGCTTTTGTTCATTTTGTGTCCAGCTTTGCTTTGTGGTGTTTTGGACTCCTGGTTTATCAGAGAAGATCCTGATTGATGTCATTGGAGTGGATAAATCTTTTGCTGATCTGTGTGTGGTCCCGCTCCGAATTTTCTCCTTTTTTCCCGTGCCAGGTAAGACACTCTATTAGTTTTTTAGCATCAGTGTCCAGCTGCTTTCCTCGGACCAGTGGGGTGATTTTTCCACTTTTTGTGTTTGCAGTGACTGTTCGGGCTCATTTGACTGGATGGCTCATGACCCTGAAAAAGACCTTTGTGCTGGCCCCCAGCTCAGTTCTCCGCATCATTGTCCTCATCACCAGTCTGGTTGTGCTGCCTTATATGGGGTAAGTCAAAACTTCAGAGAACATTGTCAGGGTCACAAAGGTCAGCACCGTGACTCAGGCTTCCTCATAATGTGAGCTATTCTGGTCAAATCTGTTTTTCACAAGTATTTTAATTCCTGGAAAGATAGATCGGAGCGGATGATTCACTTCCACACTTCTAATATAATCCTTCATTATAATCCTTTGTGTTTCAGGGTCCATGGGGCCACACTCGGGGTTGGATCCCTCCTGGCCGGCTTCATAGGAGAGTCGACAATGGTTGCCATAGCAGCGTGCTATGTTTATCGACAACAGGTGAGAACATCTGGGTTTAGGTCATTTCAAGTGTGAGAGTACACACCTTTTTCCATGCTTTTGCAAATCCAACCGGCAACCATTTTTAACCACGCGTGTCTTTCACCTATCATAATAGCGTTTAGAGTGAGCCAGACTCACCAGTTCTCCTTTTCTCAGCGACTTTTAAGGATTTTGTGGTTTTTATTTCCACCGTCTCTGCAGAAAAACAGTGAGATGTCCAATGATCTGGTGGTGGAGGGCGAGGACTCCGCCCCTATGAGCGAGGTGTGCTCCAGGACTCAGATGGACGCCATTGAGGAGCTCCAGGAGGAAGAGGAGGAGGAACAGGAGTGAACTGCGACTGCAGGGGAAAGTAAAGCAGACCTCCATGTGGAATTTTGCTGAAGAGGAGACTTTCCAGTGTTACTGTATGGTTTGGTTTCAGAGGTTCTCCCGACAGACTTTGAAGAAGGGTGACAAAGTCTTCTTCGCGTCGACCTGCACACCATTAAACGCACACTGTAAAGAAAGCCATGCACCTCAAAGTGATCATTAATCAGTTTAAATACCGTTACGTCTACCCCCCTTTTTTCCTCCGTTCTCATAGTTTTGCATCATCACATCAGGCGGTGTATTCACCACTTGTGTTTACTGGTAAACAAGGGAAAACGACACAGGAGAACTGTTCCTCCTCAGCAACAAGAATGAAACGTCTGATGAGTGGTAGTGGAGTTGCCAAAAATACTGAGTTCATTATATCAAGATTAAGCGACAAGAGCGTTGCTTGAAATCAAATAGACATATTGTGGGACTTGTTGGGTTGTGCAATCGTATTTTACATACACCGGTGTACAGATTATTGTTGTTTTATATAGGTAATGCAATGTGTATATTTAAATGCCCTGAGGGGTCAGGAATCCCTCCTTATATCATTGCGTGTGTTACAGAAAACAGTTATGATTGTTCACTTTCCATGCAGTCTGGGAGTCCATCTACTTTTGTTCTGCCAAGCATTTTCCCTGGTAGTTTCTGTCGTATGTACTGTATATACTGTATAGGCATTCTTATTTGGCAAATAAATTGCTTTATTATTAACCTTTGCTTTGTTGACATCTGCTTTAAATCCTTTTGTTTTGTGTGGTACTTCAGACACCACTGCTGGATGTGTAAAAGTTAGTAATAGCAAAGTGTATCTATTTTCACATTTGTATACAAGTTTAAGTGGTAAGCCTTTCCTTTGCCACAGTTGACAAAATACGGAAATGACCATAAATCATGTTATTATACGAAATGTTATATGGGCTATGTATCCCTAAAAAGTAATGAACAAACGGATGACATTACCTGTAACACCTATATAGCGTTTTGGGAGGGGTATTGCTGCTGAATAAAGTAAAGCACAGTCCACACACACACATCAGTTTTAGAGCATAGGAAAATTCATTGTATTCAACCATGATAAACAGAGACCCCAAACAAACTTAATGTTATTTTCTGTATGGTACTTCTTAGACTTCTGTTCAAATTTCTCACAAAATTAGGCAAGGCTTCAACAAGCTGATTAAATCATAAGGAGAAAAAAAGACTTTTTACAAAAATTGTACTTTAGTTGAATCTAAATGCCATCCATAAACAGAGAAAACATTCCTGCAAAATGGCATAATCAATGTTTACTGCAAACAGATCACCTTCACCTGCTCTGGAATAAGGGCGAGAAAATGGCCTCTTATCAGTAATAACCAACATTCATTCTTATTGTGCATTATTCCTAAGGCAACATGGCGGACCAAGCGAGCTTCAAACTGAATCCAGTGGCTGGTGGGTGGGACTGTTGCCAGTATTTGCAGCAACTTTGGCAAGTTTTTCCCTTCAGAACAGCTTGGTTAAAAGGCAACATGTTACACATTTAGTTCGACACACACACAGACCATCACAAATCACGCCTCTGACGCAGAGGTCGTGATAAATATTCCTATAAATCCACCAGTCGGGTGTGAGCTGTTGTTAAACCTGATAAGTCATCAAACGCTCTTCACTCATTTCACTTAGTACAAAATGGAAAAATAATAAATTAATATGCAACTTAAAGTGCCCAAATTCCAGTGTGAACCCCATCCATTTAATCTTTTGGCGCTGTTGGCAGCTCTGTTGTGTTTTGATCACAATGTAACAGAGAAAAAAAAATGTAAAACAAAACATGGGTTTTTTTTACCCCCCCACCTCAAAATAACACCCTCCAAACTAATTTGGATCTCACTGAGATGATCTTGTAAAATCAGATGCACAGATACGTACACATACTCAAATAGAAAACTGTATACAGTACAGTGTGTACAAAAATGTGTAAACCACATCTTGCACAGGGTCTCAAATCAGCATATCTTTGTTTAAAGGAATAAAGTGACATTTTGGGGAAAAAAACACATGCTTTTCTGCTGCGAGTTAAATATACAGATTGATACCACTCTTAAGTCTGCATGTCTAATATGAAACAACAACAGGCTATCCTGGTTCTGTCTTCAGACAGAACCAGGATAGCTGTTTCCAACTGTTTGCAGTCTTTATGCTAAACTAATCTGCTGCTTGCTGTAGCTTCATACTCAACAGACATGACAAGAGTGGTATTGATCGGTCCCACTCTCAGCCAAAAAGCACATGTCCCAACATGTCAAACTATTTCTTTAATTGGCGTAAAAGTAATAATCTGGATCGACCTGAGGAGTGCTTTGTTTATATGGCAGGAGATTTCTCTGCAGTGGCGATCAGCTCGAGTTGAGCGGCTCGTGTAGTTCTTCCGCAGCTTCTACAACTGGCACGTTGTAGTGGCGGTCGTCCTCGGTGACGAGGCACACACACGGCCAGTCGACCTTATGGTCGTCTGGGTAGTAGGTGACAAACTCCTCCGTGTCGACCTTGTACAGTCTGTAAACTTGGATGGTGCACTGCAAGGCGTAGCCCAGCAGGAACATTTCCACCTGTCGGGGAGATAATAGCATGGTTAGAGTAAACAGCACATATTTCTAAATGTGTTTAATCAGCTGCTCGAGCACATGGTATTTATGGGTGGAGTTCCTTTATGCATGTTTCCTCTAAAAGCCTCAATCAAAACAGTGAAAATAACAATTAGATCACTCAGCAGCAGCTGAAGCCTGCTCACCCCCGGGATTCATGGAAAACACAGAAAGCAGGTGCCAGCATTACACACCCGTTCTCATGACATTTAATACGAGTTGTTTTGTTGTTTTGCATGACAGCGGTTTATTCAGCCGACATGTATTGCTTGATTCAAACAAAAAAAGAAATGGCAGCTTGTAAACCATAAAAAGGATCATGTAAATGCTCATAACTGGCAGGAAACTACTGTATGCAGCTAGTAAAACAGGTCTTTAAATGCCTCGTTGAAGTGGGTCTGCGGTTGGCTGGTCAACAAGTAAAATAAAAAGCCCCCCCCTGGGTTCTTCCTACCTGCTCCAGCCCGGCGCTGAGGCCCACGTGTCCGAGGTGGTTGCAGAGGAAGGAGCGGGGGCAGTCGGAGGAGTCGCGGGCGAACAGCAGCCAGCAGAAGAGCGGGACTTCCCCCTCGCCCTGCATGCAGCGGTGCAGCTCCACCGCCTGGCCCAGCATCAGCAGCTTCAGCGCCTCCATCAGCCCCAGCTCCTCTTCTCCACCCTGAAACACCCGCTCACAGAGCTGCTGCCGCTCCACAGCAGAGGGGCAGTCCAAGGCTGCCTGCCACTGGGGACACATGGATGACATTCAATCAAAAACAATTCATATTTGTAGTCATTTCTCAAGTGCAAATGGCCAAAAATATCTGCTAATTATGGCCAAATATATCTGCTAAATATAGCTTTACTACATACCGTGCAGTTTCTATTTAAACCCTTTTTCTCAGACAAAGTATGACCCCAAAAAACACCAAAAAATAGTTTCATCATACTTCTATTAAAGTTCTATAAATATTTGTGGAACCAGCCCAGACCAGAATTACACAACACACGGTCTATTCCCAGCGACTGTATGGAATCCAGACCCTCTCACAGTTACCTCTCATGAAGCCTGACTTTTAAAACATGTGTGTACAGTAATAGCTAGAATTCCTCACTAGCCAACAGTGGCAGCGCCTGACTATAAATTAAGTTTGGGTCCTCATATGGTTACAGTAGGGAGGCACTGTGATTTGCGGTTCAAAGTTGAAACAGTTTCTTTGAGGCGGAGGGTCCAGTTAGCCTCCTAATTGTGACGCAGAGAATGAGCAGAGCAGCATTTAGAAAAAGACTGTTCCATATGGTAGCAATCACATCTAAAAGCCCTGCGGACGAACATCAATACCCTCAGTGTTCACGTATGGCATAAAAATAGTGCAGTGGTTATTCTGTGCATATTTTCAGTATTCACTCCGTACCGTATCCCTCAGAAGCTCCATGTAGCCTTTTAGCTGCAGGGTAGCATCTCCCGTCCCATCTCCCTGCAGGCAGTCTCCAGGAAATGTCCACTGGCTTATCAGACCTTCCTGGGTCTCAAGGCGCTTCGGCAGCTGTAATTAAAATGCCGAGATGAGATTTCAGCTGTTCTGAAAACATGAGTATGTTAGCCTGGCAGCCACACATTGTTAGCCTGATCTCACATATTCTGACACTATAACAAGGCTGTTTTTACATGATTTTTACCTGGGACATTTACCCCTTTTCTCCGTCTTCTAACACAATAAAGCTTTAAAACATTTGGGCATCTGGGGCAAAGGTGATATTTACTAAATGCTGTTGTGAGCTAAATGCGCTGGTAATTCAGAGCCACCAACCGTTACTGTGCAAACACAAATAGCCCCCACAGCATACGTTGAGCTCACAGCACTAACAGATAAGAATAATGCAGCTTTTGTTGTCTCTGAACTATGGGCTCAGAACAGTCTCATAATACACACATGCACACAGAAGGATTCAAACTTGTATTTCCGGATCCACACTTGTGTTTTTCAATGCACACACAAATGTGTTCCGTTTCATATACATGTAAATAAAATCCAAATACAGAAAAAAGTTTTACATATGTATTTTTGATCCTCACATATTAGTTTCCCCTGAACCTGCAAACACAAACAGCTTTCTGTGCACGGATCGCTTTGCATTCGTGTGTGGGTTTTTTGAGACTCCCCTGACGGTCAGCCGATTCGTACTTGTAATTTTTTCTATCTATAGCCAATCAGATGTCTCCTTCATTCTAAGCCAATCACATGAGCGCGCCCCCACGAGGGTAAGATTACTTCATATACGCATTTTGCGCAGTCCGGTCAGCTCGCTAAACAGAGGGCGGAGCTTCAGGTGATCATGCAGAGCAGCGTGTCTCCGTCAGACTCAGCAGCTGATCTGATCTCTCTCTTGCGTCCGGTTATACTTCACTCGCGTTTATGTCCATATCGATCAGATCCAGCTCTCCTGATCGGCCTTTATAGAGAGCACCGATCAAACTATTAAGAGTGAATATCGGCCGATAATGACCGGCGGGGCTCCCCCCCCGTTAACAGGTCACTGTCAAGCACTGGCTTCGTAGTGCACTGATCGATTAGGCTAAGCTAACCTGTAGCTGCTCCCTCCACACTCACAACAACTTCATACAGACATAAATAAAGCAGCTGTATTCGCCATACAGGAAACACACATTTAAAACGGTTTTGCCTGCCGTTTTTGTGTACACACAAGCATGCATCAATGGTTTGGAAAGTGGCGCTGTACCTTAATAATATAAAGGCTTGTATTTGCGTGCATTTCCTGTTCGGAAAGTGGCGCTGTACTGATAGTGGAGGTGTCCTGAGATTAGCGCCTGCAGGCAGGCTCCATGGAGCTGTCAGCTCCAGACTGCGCAAAATGCGTACATGAAGCGCAACGTCATGAACGCAAGAAATCTACCCTCGTGGGGGCGCGCTCATGTGATTGGCTTAGAATTGAGGAGACATCTGATTGGCTATAGATAGAAATAATTACAAGTACGAATCGGCTGACCGTCAGGGGAGTCTCAAAAAACCCACACACGAATGCACAGCGATCCGTGCACAGAAAGCGGTTTGTGTTTGCAGGTGCAGAGGTTTTAAACGGAAAACAAATATGTGAGGATCAAAAATACACATGTAAAACTTTTTTCTGTATTTGGATTTTATTTACATGTATATGAAACGGAATACATTTGTGTGTGCATTGAAAAACACAAGTGTGGATCCGGAAATACAAGTGTGAATCCTTGTGTATGCATGTGTGTATTATGAGACTGTTCTGAGCCCATACTGAACCAGCTCTGTTTGTTGTGAGTAAATGCTGCTTAACTGTTTCTACAATCTCATTCTACTCATTCGGACAGAATCAAAACATTGTAGCGCTCTAATGGCGCGTTTCCACTGCAGCGGGTAGCTCGCTTTAAGCATGCCGAGCCGTGCGGGGCCCGTTTTTGGTTGCGTTTCCACTTGGCCTAGTTTTGGCCCGGGGCTAATTTTTCACCTTTTTTCTGGCCCGACTAAATCGTGGTTCTAGGGCCAGGAACAACCAGGCTGAGTATGCTAAACTAGAGAGAGAATCGCTGGCAAGGGGGCTACAACTACAACACGATGAACATATTTGACCGTGAATTAATTGTAATACACGTTTCAAAATGATGCCGAAGTAACAACATACTGATACCGGTTAGTAAAAACCATGAATTAATGCTTTGACAAGTCTGCAGACAGACGGCAGGCGAAAAACCCTTTTAAAATGCGTGTTTTCTAAATGGAGCTTGGCTAAGCTAACGTTATATATGCTCCGACCGTCCACACTCACAACAACGGCCTATACAGACATAAATAAACCAGCGACTGTATTCGCCATGACACAGGCAGTCTGTGGTTTGTACTTGTTTAACTTTTGTCTAGTTTCTGAACAGATATGAAGAGCTGTGAGCTCTGAGAGCTAACGGCTGTGTTGTTTTTCTGGGGCTCTCATTGAAGATGACGTCACGGCTCCGCCTACACTGCGTTACTATAGTAACTGCCCCAGTTCCTAAACTGTAATGGAAACGCAGCATTAAAGTGAGCCGGGCCTAATAAGGCCTAACCAAACCGAGCGAGGCCGAACGAGGCCTGCAGTGGAAACGCGCCATAATAGTGCTACGTTCTTATGAGTTCTCTGATGAACACATATATAGTTATGTAGGAAACTAAGGCTTATATCACTGGCGGATATTTGGAGCTTCTGAACATGACAATATATCCTAGCAGTAACATGCATATGAGACGTTTAGAGAACATTGGTAAGTCGTAGCATCTGCCAATAATCTTTGTAAGTGGTGCACAAAAGTCTAGTGACCAATTATATAGGGGTGGCTTAGCCTTCTCTAGCTTTAATTACCTATCGCCCCTGATAAGTACTACATGTATTCAAAATTAAATCAGTGTATTCAAACCACAGAGTTGGCTAGCATAATTAGCTTAGCTACAACTAATGAAACCTCTCAGCAACAGTCTAACTTTTCGGACAAGCCTGGACTATAAGCAGACATTTTGGCCGCACAAAATAGGGAACACACAAATAACTGTTGAGTATTCATTTTACTTGCAATAAATAAACAGTTCTGCCTTTCTGCTGATTGACTGCTTAATATTGTAAAATTAACAATATTTGCAACATTCTTTTAAACAAATTGAACTAAACACAAATAGCACGATAATAAACAAAATGATAAATACATTTTAAAGGGGAGTTTTACTGATACCGTCTTTCACAATGTGTTTAATGTGTTTATGGTGAAAGTTGCTATTGTTGATGGACTATCTTAACCTTTGTCACTAGACTGTCCAACCTGTTGTGCTTGTTACGGGCCGTTCCAGGACATGTCTGTTTAACCAGTTAAGCCCAAGCCTGTTTTTCAGGTTTCGAAAAAATGACATTCCCAGAACAAATGACTATAACTTCACTTCTAAAAAAGGGGTAAATTAATAATCTTTTTTCTCAAAGCAATGATAAACTTGTGAGTTGGATGTAGAAAAGTCAGAATCAATAAAGATTTTTTTTATTTTAAAGTAAATCAGATTGAACATAGTAAAAACAATTAAATTATAGTGTCCGTCCAAAAACAAAACCATTACTTATAGTGAAAACCACCCTTGAATGATGGGATGGTAGCTTAAAAGCTTGAGGAATCCAAACTATAACATATAATAAGTACTCTGTATCAAGATTGATGCAAAACAAGTGACATTTGACCTTTTTAGAGAGATTTAGCATTTTCCATATCTCTGGCCCCCCTCGGTCGATTTTGATTGACACCTCTTTTGAACCGTTAGAGCCAATAGAATCGAGGGGAACTTCCTCAAATCCATCTAAACATTACCATTGAGGAGTGAGAGTGATGCGCACGCAGTTTGCCCAAAACCGGAAGCTGGGTTGTAGCTCTCATAACAGCCAATATGAAATCTCCGTTTTTGACTAAAATGGAATGATGGATTATCAGTAATCATTTCAAAGTGACACAGACACATTGGATTAACATTCAGATAAAAATGGTTCATATTGTCTGATAGCTGAGTTTACTCCCGTTAAGTGGGTATGACACATTCATAGTTTGTTAAATGTTAAGAAGCCTTCAGATGCTGTTTCTTGCAAGATGTTGAGTTTTGCCCCTGGTACCGGGGGCTTAACTGGCTAACATGCAAACAACGCTAACGAAACGGCTTCACCAACTGATGTTTACGAGTGTGTGTTGACGAGTGTGTGTTTACGAGTGTGTGTTTACCATGTGAGCGTCCTCCTCCTGCAGCCACTGGGGCAGCTGGGTGCTATGGGACAGCACCTGGAACAGGGTGGCTCTGAGGGCGCAGTAGTTGTCTCCCCTCACTCTCCTCAAGCTGCTGAAGCTCTGGGACATCTCCTTATAACCCTGCAGCCGCACCCGGGACCCCACAGGAAGTCTCTTAGACATTCATGTGAATAAACAACAACAACTGGCCTTAATGTGAAACACTCGGGCACAGACCTTTCTAATGAGAGCGCTTTTGGCAGTGTTTCCTTTCCACTCTCTCTCACTGTACGACAGAATATCCACCGCTGGTGCCAAACTGCATCTGTCCTCCACCTTGAAGACTGAGGGATGAAGAGAGGGAGAGAAAATGATTGGTATAGTTTATATTTTTAAAGAGACAAAACCAATGTCAGGTGATAGAAGTGTGATTTGGATATACTGACTTGTACTTTCTGGTTGATTTGTCTGTGATTCTGACAGCTCCTCGGCTCCTCTGTACAGGTCTTCTTCACTAAAAAAGGGAAAAAACACATTTAGGAGACTGAGCTGTCTAAGTCATGCGTAAGAGAGGCCATGATCTATTTGAAAAAGACATAAACCAATATGTCTACTTTTTTGTTTAAAGAATAAAGTCTGATATCTTAATCTTTTGTGCCATATTGTATTCCAAAGCTATCAAACACACCAATGACCCTCACTGGGTGACATGTTCCTTAATGTTACTGTAGTTTATTTGGAGTTAATCCCACATACACCCTCCTGCTGCTTTGAAGTGCACCAAATTGGTGTAAGCCCAAAGCTGGAAATAGCCCCAAACAAACTCACTCTTTGCTCCTGAGTGACATTTTCTAAGCAGTGATAACACATAAGAACCGTTACCATTCAGGTATGCTCATACAGGAAAGACAACATATCACACGTCCACTTCTTCGGGGAGGATGTCAGACATTTTTAAAGCTACAAATGAAACATGTGGTACTGAGTCTACATTTCCACACAGTTCCCTTCCTGTTTTGTGTCCTACTTCAACATCTCGTTTTAGAATGACGGAATCGGTGATACTCTGACTCAATCTTTCAACAGTTCAAATAGCCAAACACATGACGGGATGTTGACTCTTTGACGCACGTAAGGAAAAGGTCATTCCAAACCTGTTCTCCAGGCCGTCTCCAGCAGAGTCCCCCTTCTCTGGGACAGGGGTCTCATCCTCAGCCTTCACATCAGCTGTGCTCTCTGCCAGCTGTTTCTCCTCTCCTGTCACCTCCTGGATCTCAGCATCTTCCTCAGCCTCTGTCAGAGCATCTTCCACCTTCATCTTATCTTCCTCCTCCTCCTCCTCCTCCTCCTCCTCCTCCACTCTGGGAACATCTCCATTTTCATCTTGTCCTTTCAGCAACATTTCCTCCTCAATATCCTGTTCAAAGTTCTCCAAGGAAGGGACCTCCTTTGAGCATTCAGGATCTGCCTGTGCATCCTGATCGGAATTTAAGCTGGGAAGAGAAGACATCTTCAGTACTTTTATTCCTCAATAAAGATAGACCTTTATTAACCCCTTTGGGGAAATGCAGGAGTTTAAGCAGCAACAGCGTGAGATTGAACAACAGGACAGTAAAGATACAATTACAAATATAATTATATACAGGTAAGTAACTGTTAAAATAAGAAATGTATTAAATGAACATATATACATATTTGAGTCCATCTCAAACTTATATTATTAAATTATTAAATGCACAACTCACACTTTATACCATCAAATATATATTTAGTTGTACAAATACAAAACCCATAATAAGAAAGAACAAGGTGTGCAATAGACAATACGTTTGCATGCTGTGGTGTTTAAATGCCCCCTTGTGGTGACAGTGTGGCTCAAAAACGAAAGCAAACAGTTAGTGTAAACAAGCATCTTGTTTTGTTTTCACAACTCTGGACCTGCTGACCTGTGTCTGGCGTCTGCTGGCGCTGTGGTCTCTGTGGTCTCTGTGGTCTCTGGCTCCCTGACACAGCTGGAGGCCTCCTGCTCCTCCTCACTGTGGTCCGGTTCTGAGGGCTCTGATCCAGGAGAGGACTCACAGGACGCAGGGCTGTTTGTGTCTTCAGGTCCCGCCTCCTCGCACGCTGAAGAGCTGCTGTTCTCTGGACCCTCGGGCAGGGCACTAGACACAGGATGGCAGCAGACAGATATTACTATGAATCAGGGGTCCATTCTGCTAAAGCACACCAGCGAACACCACTGGACTTATTTCACCATGAGCAGGTTAAATCCTCTGTGTAGTGCCGTTCAGAATTCATATCTGTATACCTACTAATACACCACTGAATTTATTGTAATAGACATGTTTACATATTCCTCTTTGTTATATATTGTACAATGCACACTTTTACTTCTTAGGGTTGTACACATACTGTTATTATATTACGTTTGTACAAGTATTTTTTAGCTACCTTCCTATGTTTATTTACATATTTCACAAACTAAATTTCACTTGCACACATTTTCCTCCGGCCTTTTCTTCTTTTTTTTTTAATGGAGCAAATGTCATAAATCCCATTCCCCTCCCAGGATTTCCATAAAATCTGGCTTCACAGAATATTTGTTTTGTAACATCTCTGTATAGATTGACGCAAATGTAAGTATGTTGTGATTTGTGTATGAGAAGTGAGTCAAGTGGACATACTTAGCAGCCCCAAAATGCATTGCAGCTCTTCAGACAGCCATGCGGTTTTAGAGAAAAGGCGCAGGAGCTTACAAATATATTGCACAGTAGAAACAAATATTTAACATGAATACATCAAGTAATTTGAATCTGCCTACTTTGGTTTGAATCAAGTAATTTAAACCAAGCTGTTAATTATTACATTTGTGATTACCAATTTTCCTTCAATGTCAACATGACATTTTATTTAACTTAATGCCATTTTTCAAACCACTGGTCTATCTCCAGAATTTGCTTTACAGTATATTAGTTATTTTGACCATTACATGTGAAAATGCAAACTAAATGACAGACGTTTACCATAAATAACAATTCTTCCGTAAGGAAGAATTTTGGATTGAACCTCCTGATCTTTTTTTAAACCACATTCCGAGCAGCAGCAGAAAACAAAACTCCAGTTTGTCTCTGCGTGTGACTCACCAGCTCGCAGGCTGTTTGTCACCCTGCTGTCTGACCGCCATCTGCCCGGCCGCTGCAGTGGGCGGAGGGTTTGGCTCAGAGAGACCCTCATTGTTTGGAGAGAGCTCCTCCGATGGCTCTGCTACAGCACTGCTTTCAGTAGTGACTGTGGAGCCTGCTTCTTCTTCTTCATTATCTTGAGTAGTGTCTGATGTGATGTGCTCTGTTGTGTTTGTCTCAGGGCAGACCGCCTCAGTTATTACTGAGCCGCTGTCAGGGATTTTGTCGTGCGCCGAGGCTGGATTTTCTTCTTCTGGTGCCACATTTGTTGCGGTGGCATATTCTCTCTGCGGAGAGATTAAAGTGCATTGCATGGGTTCAGCCTGTCCACCGTCTGCAGGACTGTCCTTTATAACTTCATCTTTCACTGCGGTGGAGTTCTCTTTTAGTTCAGAGCCTTTTCTTGGAGAGGGTGATGCTTTCTGTATGACCTCTTTCTGAAAGGCTCCATTCTCCTGAGTGTTATTGGGCTCTTTCTCCACAACGACCGGGACACTTTTTTTCACTTTCACAGCCTCTTTCGGCTCTATCGTATCCTCATCAAGCATTGTCCTGAGTGACATAACAGAGAGGAGAAGCAATGTCACATCATAGGACAACAACATGCTGAACAGGAAAACAGGAGTAGTTATGTGATCACAGATGAGATTGTGCAGCCAATGTTTCAAAATGCAACCTGTTATGTAGTTAGATGGAAAATCTATAATCAAAACAGTACTCTTTTTCACTTTAAGGGAGAAATGACTAACATTTTAAGACCTTAGGAAGTCCCCTAACCCTCCTACACCATCACTTCTCATTCACCGTGTGATTTGGTTACATTAAAACAACCTACGCAAACCTTGGGGGGAAAACTAAAAGGTTCTTTTTTTTAAAAGTGGCAGGTCAAACCTTAAGAGGCAATTTCATGATGTCAAATGTGTCAAACCAACGTTTAAAATACAGCCCAAAAATGTCTGTGTTCGATACTTCTTTTACGGAGTAGGTTTTCAAATATACTATGATATTAGTCTGAAAAGGCTTAGCTCCAACAATGTGTAAATGTGTTCAAAAAAGTCAGGTGTCTTACTGGAATTTGGATTTTCGCCGTAGACACTTAGTCACCCAATCAAATTGAGACATAAGTGGTGCTGAGGTCAAAAATGAGACTGAAAGACTCACTTGATGTTGTCATCTCCTTCAGGACCACAGGACCCCCCCACAAGTGTTTCTCCTGCGGGCGTCGTGGCCTTGGAGTCATCTTTCAGTAACCCGCTCGTTTCCTCCGCGCTGCCACAGGGACTCTCAGTGCGACAGCAACAGTTCCCCATCTGCTCGCTCCCTCTGTTGGGAGGTCAGACAGGTCGTAGTCTGGACACTGACCTCGGGTCCAAAACAACCCCAAGCGACCTGAGGCGTCGCTGAAGCCTGGGGATCTCAGGAGGCCATGATGGGGGGGGTCCAGCTGCTGCTAAAGCCAGGAGCAACCATATGTAGTCTTGTTATAGTGATGATACCTAAAAGCAAAATGTGCAACATCACTGAATAAATTAGTCAAAGCACTCCTCCATGTGTGATATAGCAAGTGTTACACTATATTATGTGACCAATTAGATTCTGTCACCTGCATTTTAAATCACATACTACATTAGGATAGATGTTGCCAACAATGGAGATGCCAGAGGTTAGTCTTTCTGTATTTCATGTTGTCACATTTGATTGGTTAACATCTATCAAAATGTCTGACCCTATCTTAAAACTAAGAGGGCACTGTTTGCGGTATCACCAATCGCAAAACAGTAAATGTTCAATATTTGAAAAAGACAATCTGTTTTTGAAGTGGCTGAAACACCTGCTACTATGTTTCCACAGTATACATGTCAGTGTAAAATGAGCTCAAAGCAAAGCTACATCGTGTTGTTAATGTCAACACATGCAAGGAAGTATCGATAAATGACAGCACATTTCACACAGAACATTTAACTATCACTCCCATGTTAATAATGACGTTAAACCGTACCTCAGTTTATTTAGAGACAAACTCCGCAAGCGTGCAACCATGCAGCTCCGATTTCTCTTTCACTTTTGGTTAGCTGGAAAACAAGCTTAAGTTAGCTAGTCAGCTAGCTGGGGGAAACTTAAATGATAAACATGCGCTACTAAATACCGAACGCCTCTCCCGAGTATCACCGCAATGAGGACAAAAGCATTGTAATGTGATACGTTACATTTAAAAAAAGAACGGCTATTTACTCTACTGTTGGCGGAACATCTGTTGTACGGACCCCTAGCATAGCCAGAGCAGCAGGTCACGGCTCGGTCCGAGCGATGACGTCATTCTCATGAGCGCCGAGGGTTTTGGTGCGTTCAAGTGCTCCTCGGAGACTCTCAAGCTTCACTCCAACCCTGGTACACATAACAATTACTGGATTGATTGGGTAGACTTAAATTGAATACAATTAAATTATGCAAAATGAACCAAGATGCACTGTTTCTAGCTTGTGAGCTGCTTTTCTCTTTTATATGGCTTTTTAAATGAATATCTGTGTTTTGGATAGTTTTCATACAAAACCAGTAATTTGAGGCATCATGAATTTCACTTTTTTCTTTTACATAGAATTAATAATTAATTGATACATACAAATACAATTAAAGAGTACATAATAGATGCATTGATGCTTTAAATAGTTGAGGTGTAAATGGTGTGGTTTAAATATATATTTATTTGGTAGCTTGTGGTTTTGTTTGACAAGAGTTTTAAATAGTTTTAAAAAGGCCAAAACATTACCTAGATATTAAAACAAATTGGTGGGCATTAGTCATTACAAAAAAAATATAAATAGAGATAACATGGATGTTGTTGTTTTTTCATTAAGATGGGCAACCCATTCGGTAATGAGAACAAAACTGCAGTCAAATACAGAAAATGTATTTTTATTTTCATTCTAACCCTGTTATACAAATTAGGAATGCAATATTTTTATTTTACATTATATACATCGAAAGCACTTAATTGCGAATGTGTAAGATTACACAAAAATCCAATTTACTTCAAAGTTCATATGCTCATCCAAGTACTGTCCGATTTGCACACCCTACACGTTGTTCAGCTCCTGGATGTGGCTGACCAGCTCCTCAGGCAGTCCCAGCTCTGACACTAGATCCATGCAGCGCTGCAGGAGGTACTTCAGGGTCTCACTGGAGCGGGAGGAGCAGTCAGTAGACCCTGAACAGAGCCTTTGTGGCTGCTGAGGAACATCCTGATCCATTTTGTCTCCTGTTCTACAGCAGTCTGTTTCTTTACATCCCTCTCCTTCACAGCCTGGATTTGCCTGCTCCACCTCCAGATCCTCCATGCTCTCAGAGACGGCGCTCACACTGGGAGGAGGATTCTCCAAAGTGTTCTTAATGCCATCCATAATGGTGTCTTCATGCTGGGAAACCTGCTGCAGGAGGTGGGTTACAGAGGCCGGCAGGGGGCTTTCCGGATGTTGGGTCTGGCACCAGCACCATATAGCACTGTGACGGGAACACAAAGAGGCAACAGTGTGGGATACAATGGTACAGAGAAGAGACTGGGACAGGCAACTACTGGAAATAACAGTCTTCAATACTGACCAGAACAAAAGAGGCTCATGATGTTTCTGTGCAAAACATGTTTGTATTTCCCAAAGTAGGGGGAGGAAAAAGTACAGAAAAAGAAAAAAAGAAAAAAGAAACTAACGTATAGTATCAGCAGTTAATTGGCACGTCTAAAATAACACTTAACCACTTGCCTGACAGAAATATAAACAGCCCATGTAAAACATGTATTCACTCCGATTTTAGATGGAATCAAAGAATATGGCAATAAAACATTTGTAGATACTTTTCAACCAGAATTAATATTTACAGTCACCACTGGGTGGCAGCAAGTTAAATAAATTATAGTGAAAAATGATAGGTATAATACCATGAATATCACTTAAACCAGTTGTTCTCATCATGTTTGGCTTGGGATTGCGAACCTTTCAAAAATAAATCAAAGTGTATTTATATAATCTCTTATCACAGATTATGGATTTAAAATAAATCATACATTATTAACAGATTTACCAACAATTGGATTGCTTTATTTAAAGGCCCTTTGAGAATGATTCTCAATGTCCATAACAAAAGGGTTTTATAACTGATATTGGCACTCCACATGTAACGTTTTACATTTACTGTTCTTCTAACCCAATCTTAAATCTGATAATATATCACAATAAGTATAAATTAAATGATAGTTTACCTTACAATTCCTTTGAGCCGGCCCACAGCCACAGTCTGAGTTGCTCCTTCCCGGAATCCGAGGTCAAAGCCGGCCTGAAGCGAGGCATCCTCCCCGGCATCCACTCCGTCCACATACCCGTCCTGTCCATCACATCAGTCGGGAGGGAAAGTCTCACATTACCACGCTTAACTCACCTTTAAACCTCTGTTACAAACACTTAATAACCGGAATACAAACATGATATAGCAAGTTACCACTGAATGTCACACAATGTTGAGCATTTTCCTAAAATACACATTTTAAGGTATGTATCGAGGTAGGCTAACGCTACATTAGCTTTACCTTAACTCGCTTCTTCATGTTAGATGCCCACTCTTTACTTTGCAAACTAAGTTCGTCCGCATTCTCATCAAACACATCTCCGCTGGTCGAAACAGCTCTAACCCAAGACATCATGGGAGTATTAAAAAAGTTTCTAAATAGACTGTATGTTTTAAAATAAACGGTTATTATTTCATTCGTATCCCGAAAACACTACCATGCAGAAGCCTGTGTTGACACTTTTTTCACATGTACTTCCTGAGAAAGCACCAGCTATCCTCAAGTACGTCATCAACATGCGCCTGAAAAAATAAATCTACCCTCAAACGGATTTTGATGGTTTACTTTACTGGTTGCAGCTTGTAAAAATGAAACACGTCTAAAAAATAATTAATAGTTGTATTGTTATTTTTCTCTCTTTGTTATGATTATTATAATTTTTCTGACGTGTTTATAAATGCTCTTTTAGGGTGTACTTTTCCTTTAAAAACACACTTCTTCTGTGGTGTTTGCCTAAATCAGATAATGTTACTGCTTATGTCCCGCAGGGGGCGCTAGTGTCTCGCTGTAAATCAGAGTGTGGTCCACACATACCGAGAATGACTGATACTAACCATCAAACACCCTCCTGTATATCAACCGTGTGCAGATAACGTGCGAACGATTTTAAAGCTACATATATGTCCTATTTCTACGTTTTACTTTTGTCTCCTCCTGTCTTTTATTTCTGTTTCAGAGTTTTTATAGTTCACTAGAGTCAAAATTCCAGAAAAAGTTAAAAGAAGGTTAAGTTAAAACATGTAAAATGTATCATTGCTGATCAATGAAAAGTGTCTGAATATTTTAGATGTTTCATGTATTTTGGATAAATTATAGGACCCTATTTGATTTCTGATAACCCTCCTAAATTGTCTGAATTTCTGATTTAAAAAATGCATTGTGTTACGATAGATTATTTAAAAAAATATTTTTAAAAGTTATTCCTGAAAATAGTGTATAGTCCTATTAATAACATACATTTGCTTAAGTATTTTTTTTGGAATAAACCTAAACATTACAAACAACATTAGGCCTACATATTAATAATGAAGATATCTCGCATTTTTTTTCATAAATTCCACATAAGAAGCGTGATGCATAGGGACTCATGTTTTGCATCTATATAATCATAGTGATAAAAAACAACATCATCCTATTTAATATTGCTGGAAAAAATAAATGCATCTTTTATGTTTTGGTTGGAAACATATCCTCAGAGTGTCAGAAATCATGTCTGCTGTTGTTGTTTTTTTCTTCTTCTATGAAACACTTAGTGCAGCCTGAAATCTCGAGCTGCTCAAATCACTGTCCTGTGCATCTGAAGCTTCCTGTTTAAGTTTTCAACAAGAAAATGTCATCGGTCATGACAAACACATTATCCATCCATCAATAATGCATCTCACCTCCCTTTCCCCCTCACAGTTGAGTACAGGGATGTTTTTATTTCTAGATCATCTCATTTTTTCATCACATGTGGAAGGCATTTTGCAGCCGCCGGTCAACAAAGGCCTCGAGAATTCTCCGAGGCCACGGTGGAGCTGTTCTGGAAATGGAGGCCTCATTCTCTGCAACCACACCTTTCGCTAAAAGAGTCAAAACAACAAACCGGGGCAATCACCTGACACATTTCCATCCAATTTCCACTGCAGAATGTGTTCATTTTCCAGCTAATGGCATGTCATTTTGCTGGAGCCTTTTGGTCAAGAATTAATCCTGGAATCAAAACAGATTTTCCGGGGAGCAATCTTCCATCAAGTATTGATTTTTTTACACTCACGGAGCCTGTACTCCCTAATTTAACCTGACAGCCAGCAGCACAATGGACTGGGAGCACCTTGGCATCTCACAGAGGGAGCCCCCACCCCCTCCTCCTCCTCTCTCCTCTCCATGAAGAGAAAGAGAGATCGAGAAGGAGAAAAAAAGGAGACTCCCTGATGTCTAAAACAAAGAGCATTGCTTACAGAGATAAAGCTTCCGTCTCTCTAACTATGTTTTGCGGTTACAGTGCAACCTGGGCAGGTATCAGGCTGAGAGGGAGAGAGTGTTGTGGGGCCATCAGCTATCATTATGTGCCTGTTGACATCTCCCTGTCTTTGAGTGATTCTCATCTGTGATTTCCCCTGGCCATTTTCCACAGAGGGTTTCATCATGGCCCCCCCATGAAAAGGGCCCAAAGTGTCCGCGCAGACCTTCACTAATAAGAAAGCAAAGATGTGTCCGACCATGTCACTCCTCTCCCATCCATATCTGCTCTCTCCTCGCCTTCAGATATGCAATCATTCTCTTTTCTCCCCCCTCTTCCTCTTCGTATACATACATAAAGAGGTCAGCAGGATGAGAGGATGATGGAGGGCAGGCCCGGTTATTTTCCTCCAGCTCTTAGCGCTGCGATGACCCATGAGCAGGAGAGTTGCACTTTGCCAAAGGGTTTTCCATGCGCTGCTTACAAACTACCTGGCAGGAGGGGAAACAATTTCAGTTTGAACTCATTCTCATCTGTTTCAGGCGTGATGCTGCTTTTTTGTCATGTTTTAAATGAAGGAGCACACTATTATACATTGGCAGGGCCGTAACCATGGAGAGATTTCGGGAGGATGGACCCCTAAGTGTAATTTGTGGTAATTTAAAAACGGTGGTGTTTTGCAAGAAACTTGAAATACTATGAATGTTTTTGCCACAGCAGATTCACTTACACGCAAAAATACTGATCCCTGACCTTTGTATTTTGTGAC